AAAATTTGGTATAGGACAGTTCTACTATGGATATAAATTTATTTACCAGGTATGTCCTATATTAAATAAAATTGTAAGCATGTAATAAATGCATATAATAGAAAAAATACTTCTACATTCAATCCTGTAAATTACATAAATATCTAAATAACAACTTTAAAATTAAAAAAAATTATATTTGAATCACTTCTTAATTAACTGCATTTGTTTGTTTTTTGTATAAAAATCTTTTACTGTTCTAAATAATTTAACATAATATTTTCATTAAGTATAATAAGAGTATATTCTTTCAGATGTATGATGCAGTTTTGATCACTTTAATACAGGTAACATATGATCCATTATATAGTGCAACAAGAAAAACATCTCAGAAATGTGATAATATATTTCCCGAAGATTTTTTTGCACTGAATGTGATACTGGCAGAATTTTTCTAACATGTCAAGATTTTTAGTAAATTGAATGGTCCAAAAATAATCATTTGTAATATTTTTTGCGGCGAAATAAGAATTGGTCTCTAAATAAATTCAATAACACCTGAAAGTATAATTCAAGAGCTTTTGAACGAGTTTTCACTGATATGACTTGACCATTTGACATTATATTTAATTTATAAAGTTATTATTATTTGAATTTTAGTCTTTCTGTAAAATTTTCAAGAAAAATACATACTTATGCATGGTATTAGTGCGTGCGTGTATATACGTGTGTGGCTGTAAACTTATAGAATGTTACAGAAAATCCAAAATTCGAACAGTTATAACTTGATAAATAAAAGTCATACAATCATGAAACGAAGTTCATTTGAAAACTCTTGAATTACACTTTCACATACTCTTCAATTTATTTAGAAATCTATTTTCTTTTTCTGTTTAAAAAATGTTAAATGTGGCTAAAAACGCATTTTTAGCCCTTTCATTTCAATTTACTTAAAATCTTGACATCCTAGGAAAGTTCTGCCGACAGCATCGTGTTCAGTGCGAACAAACTTTTGAGAAATATACTAGTTGTATTCTAAAATTTACTGAAAATCTATAGTTTATGTTACGTGCACTAGATTTTCAATTATGGCAGTAAATTTTGGAATACAGCCATTATATCGTACTTCGGAGAGAAAAAAAATTTTTTTTGTCACACTATAGATTTTCTATTGTCTCTAATGCATGAAACAAATGGTTTGATTATGTGTTAATATCTATGTTTTAATATCCATATATATGATCATGATCATCGACATACGTATACATAAATTTCATGAAACATTTCTGAAACATTTTTTTATAAAATCAATAAAATAACGAGATATTTCAAACGGCTTTCGTAGAGACTTCCTGTATATATATATATATATATATATATATATATATA